GCCTCTTGGGCCTGACGGTGCTGCTGTTTAATGTCAGGTTGGCCCACAATCTTCCCTCATCCATGACTTGATTGTGGATGAGGGGGCTGACCTGGCTTGCATAACAGAGACCTGGGTGGGAGAGGGGGTGGATGTCGCCCTCTCTCAAATGTGCCCACCCAAGTATTTGGTTCAGCACCATCCACTCCTGGAGGGGAGGGGAGGGGGGGTCGCTTTGGTTTACTGAGCCTCCATCTCCCTCATGGGACTTCCAGTCCCTTCGAGGCCGGGGCTGGAGTGCCTCCACTTGGTGTTGGGCGACCGAGACAGACTGGGGATTCTGTTGGTGTACCGTGCACCCTTCTGCCCAATGGTCTCCCTGCCTGAGCTGACAGAGATCGTCTTGGACCTGGTGTTGAGGACCCCCAGGATGTTGATCCTAAGGGGCTTCAATCTCCATGCCGAGACTGGTCTGACCAGGGCGGCTCAGGACTTCATGGCCTCCATGACGGCCATGGGGCTGTCTCAACATGTCACAGGCCCGACCCATGAACATGGACACACTCTGGACCTGATTTTCTCGATGGGGCAGGAAGATGGTGGTCTGAGGGTGAGGAATTTATGTCTGACACCCCTCTCATGGTCAGATCACTTCCTCATGAGGTTTGTGCTCGAATGCGACCTCTCCCTCTGTAAGGGTGCGAACCCGATTGTGTGGGTCTGCCCCTGGAGCCGGATGGATCCGGACGGATTCCTGAAGGCCCTGGGGGAGTTTCCGGCTGACAAGACTGGTGTTCCTGTTGAGGCTCTGGTCAAACTATGGAATGGGGAGATGACTAGGGCTGTTAACACGATTGCTCCTAAGTGTCCTCTTCTGCCAGGCAGAGCCCACTCTTCCCCTTGGTATACATCTGAATTGCGGATGATGAAGCAGGTCGGGAGACGGCTAGAGCATAGGTGGAGGAGATCACAGGATGAATCTGACCGAACACACTTAAGAGCCCATTATCAGATCTATGCTGTGGCGGTGAGGGCGGTGAAAAAGAAATTCTTCTCCGTTTCCCTTGCCTCCTCAAAATGCCATCCGGCGGAGCTTTTTCGGGTGGTACAAGGGCTGGTCCGTCCTGGCCCTAAGAAGGATCTGGTTCCACCCTCGAAGGCCCGCTGTGACGACTTTGCCAAGCATTTCAGGGAGAAAATTGTTCAGATTCGTCACGAGCTAGACTCCACTAGTGACTCAGAGGCTTCTGGGGAGATACCAATGTCGCTGTCTGGTCCAGAATTAATGGATGAATTTCAGTTACTGTGGCCTGATGATGTGGACAAGGTGCTTGGATGAGTACGTCCCACCACTTGCCTATTGGACCCTTGCCCATCTTGGTTAATTAACAATGCCAAGCACGGGATAGGGACCTGGATCTTGGAAGTGGTTAACACTTCTCTGAGGGAGGGTTGTGTACCTGCCCCTTTAAAGGAGGCTGTAGTCCAACCAGTCCTGAAGAAAGCGTCACTGGATCCAGAGATGGCCACTAACTATAGACCAGTGGCCAACATCCCGTTTCTGGGCAAGGTGTTGGAACGGGTGGTGGCGGGACAACTCCAAGCACTCTTGGATGAAACTGATTATCTGGACCCGTTTCAGTCCGGCTTCAGACCTGGGTATGATATTGAATCTGCCTTGGTCACCCTGTACAATGACCTGTGCAGGGAGAAGGACAGGGGGAATGCATCCCTGTTGGTTCTTCTGGACCGCTCAGCAGTTTTCGATACCATCGACCATGGTATCCTTCTGGATAGGCTAGCGGGATTGGGGGTCGGAGGCACTGCTTTGCAGTGGTTCCGCTCCTATGTCAATGGCCGATTCCAGAAGGTGGTGCTGGGTGACTATGGCTCTGCGCCATGGCAGCTATGCCATGGAGTACCGCAGGGATCCATTTTGTCCCCTTTGCTGTTTAACATCTACATGAAACCGCTGGGAGAGGTCATCCGGAGGTGTGGGCTGCGGAATCATCAGTACGCTGATGATACCCAGCTCTACCTCTCGTTCCACTGAAGCAGTGGCTGTGCTGAACCGCTGCCTGGCCAAGGTAATGGGCTGGATGAGGGCCAATAAACTGAAGCTCAATCCAGACAAGACGGAGGTTCTGTTGGTGGGTGGCTTGGGCTTTGGGGAAGGTGAATTGAACCTAGTCCTGAATGGGGTTGGACTCCCACTTAGGGACAAGGTCCGCAGCTTGGGAGTGTTCCTCGACCCAGAGCTTTCACTGGAAGCTCAGGTGACAGCGGTGGCGAGGAGCGCTTTCTTTCAGCTTCGGCTGATCCATCAGCTGCGTCCCTACCTGGAGAACGACTGCCTGGCGACAGTGACACACGCGTTGGTGACTTCCCGACTTGACTACTGTAACCCGCTCTACGTGGGGCTGCCCTTGAAAACGGTCCGGATACTTCAGTTGGTTCAAAATAGAGCTGCCAGGCTGCTGACGGGGACTGGGCGTTATGTTCACATGACTCCAGTTCTTCGTCAGCTTCACTGGCTTCCCATTGAAGTCCGGGTCCAATTCAAGGTGTTGGTTATGACCTATAAAGCCCTTAACGGCTTGGGTCCTGGTTACCTGAAGGAGCGCTTACGTCCATATATGCCTGCCCACCCCTTGAGATCAGCGGGAGAGACCCTTCTCCGGGAACCCTCCATGAAGGAAATTAGGAGGGTAAGTACCCAGAGGAGGGCTTTCTCTGCGGTGGCGCCCAATCTATGGAATGATGGCAGAGAGGGCCGCCTGGCGCTGTTGTTATTTGTTTTTTGGCGCCAGGAGAAGACCTTTTTATTCAAACGTTATTTTAATTGTTAATATTATTTATTTATTTTATTCTTTGGCCAGGTCGACTTAATTTATACTGTTAAATTATATTGTTTTATATTATGTTATTTATTTATGACTGTGAGCCGCCCTGAGGCTTCGGCGAATAGGGCGGCATAGAAGTTCCCTAAATAAATAAAATAAATAACCCAACCCTAAGTTTTAAGTATATGGTACCTTCTCCCGTTTCTGAAGGCATAGGCCAAAATATGACTTGACTTGGTATTCTGAAGCTTGAAAATGAATCCTTGATAAAAATGTTTTAATAAATAAATAAATAAATAAATAAATAAATAAATAAAAGCTGAAGAATATAATTTCTCTATGAGGCTTGTTTGCTTCTGAACTTACTGCACTAAATTAAAATATAATCAGTTCTAGCAACTGTGAAACAATTCAATTTGGTTTGTCGAACTGAAAAAATAGCCTTAGAGCAACACCCTAAGTGATTATTTAGCCAACGACTCCATGTATAGCTTATAGCTGAAGTAAGCAACCTTTGGGAGCGTGTGGGCCTAGCCACATCCTAAATTGACCCTATGTTCTTGCCTCCCATTGGCATCCGTGCTCCCACACTGCTAATGGCTACACAAAAGCAGCAATTCCTTCGGGGGCTCTGGAGAGGTTAAACTTTCATCTTCCCTACAGTGTCCCAGAACTAATGGCAAATAAATTGTGGCATTGTTGGTTTCATGCCACTAATGGCATCACCAAAGCAGGATTGCCCACTGGGGTTGCTTGGTTGGAGGCATTAACTTCCTCAGCCTTCAGTGACTCTGAAGCAGCTTACCCACCACTGTAACCTAGGATTTTTGCCCCTTCCCTGTTCCAGAGAAAGGAATGGAAATTTGGTTTGCTATATTGTTTGCCTGCCTCAGTTGTTTTCATATGATATACCAGAAAATGCTGTACATAACTTTCTGAAGGGAGAAAAAACAGAAATTGAAAAAGTGGGAATGTTTTAAGTTATCCTAGTCTGCTGAGAAGCTTCAGACTGTGGAAAGTGGCGATCTTCAGCATCAGGGTAAAGTGGAAGAAATTGGAGTAGAACAGGTTAAAATTAAGATTTTGCCAGGGAACAGCAATGTAGGATTGCAGGTTGCAAGGATGAAAGAGCAAGTCTGTACAGCAGGACCTTTAAGAGTAAGTTGGACAGAGAAGTTGGCTGTTGGAGCATTGTAAAGGGGTGGGGGAAAGCTTCAATAAAGTTGGGACAACAGGTACCCGTCTTTGAGAAAGAAAAAATGCTATGGTCACCTTAAGTGTTAAGCTAGTAGGATCTCTCTCTAGCTTAACACCAATTCATAGGGTGTACTCACAAAAGATAACAAGCCATCAAGAATACTTCTAGCTGGCAGCTGGAAGAGGGATTTCAAAGTGAACCAAACATGATGCCACATGTGTATGTTTTGGTGCAAGTTGGAAGGTCAGAAACTACCTTAGAGCTGTGAGTTGTCATGACCAGGTTTATACAATCACTGGATTATGGTGCATGCTGACAACCATTTTGTATGTTCAGTCTCCAGTGACAGTTGCCATTGTGTTGGCTGAACCCGAGAATAAGAGTTGTTTGAGGGTTAAATAGTTGTAGGATTATTTTAAGTTTCTGTTAGCCTCAAACTCCCCCTTCTGTCTAGGTTTGAACAGCCCTACAAACCATGGCTATTCCTTGCGCAGGATAAAATACTCAAAATGGTTGCTGGTGTGCACTGCAACCTGTATAGGCTTAAATAAGCCAAGATGGGCTGTGGTGATTGTGTGAACCAGCTCACTGAGTGACAAGATGGTGTCCTGATTCATTAGGATGTGAGTTACTGGCTTTTGTGTGTCTAAGAGCTCCTTATTCCAAGAAAGAGAGGAATAGGAAAGGGAGTGGTTTTCTTGGCTAGCCCTATATTGCCACTAAGCCATTAAAATAGAAGAAGAGTGTACATGTGGGGGGAAAATGAAGATGAGCTGATGCTACCTAGTCACCACCTTAAAATTATCTGTGAAGATGAAGGATATAATACTTGGCAATGATGCAGCTGCCAATGCAGCCCATTTCATTTATGTTTCTTTGAGAAGTGTAAATATTGTTTCTGACCTTCCATCCTTCTATCACCAAATTCTTCCTTCAACTTCTAATAATTGATCTGTTTCATATGCTTCTCTGTGGTATAGGTGTAACAATGAAAGCCTGAACAAGCTACCGCAGCAGTGGCTATGTAGTGTACTAGAAGAAATTAAATCCAGTGATCCTTCATCTAAACTTTGTGCCACCAGGCGGAGTGCTGGGATTCCATTTTATATACAGGTATTTTCTATAGACGGTAGGAAAATCTTAACCTGACTGATGTGATCTTAATATGGCTGGAGTTTTTTTGACTGAGTCTATGTAACAAAAGATCTGTTTACTGGGTAAATGCATAGGAGAGTTTGGGTTTTTAAGCCTATGCACTTTTTTTCTTAACTTCCAGTGTACCTATATTTGTCTCTTGTATATCCTGATCTCTGAAAGGTTAATCTATGGTCTGAGCTTTGGGACAACACTTGTCACCCTTGCTTCTTGCTATGAAGGGCAAAATGTTTTGTTTTAATGCATTGTTATAGGGCTTAGCAAAGTTATCAGTCATAGCAAAATGAGAGTAAGTTGCATTTTGAGATATATTTATATCTAGAAACCATTTCGGCATAGTTATGTGGTAACTTTGATTATGTCTATTGATGGATTGGACAAGTTGCTCTTTTTCTTTAGTAAACAAAATAGCTCTTAACATGAGAACTGTCTAGGAAGATTTGTCAGTAGAACAAAAGATCTGGAAGTTACTTTAGTTTGAAGAAGTAAGATTCAGTCAGATGCCTATGCACCACTAATTAAACCTTCCCCCTGTTCTTCCTCCTTCAAAACTGAGTTGCAAGTGCTCAGTAAAATGAATGATATGCTTATTAGTCCTCTACATAAATAAATAATCAGAAATTGAGATCATAATGTATATTATTTTGAGAAACTAATATAGCATAAAAACAGGCAAGAGCTTGTTTCATTGGAGCTCAGACATGTCTCTTGGATTTTTGCCATAGCTGTTTAACACTTGTACTATTGATTCAGTACAGTGTGTACTTCAGTATGTATTATTTACCTCCACATTACTGTTTCTGTTTTTGAAGGGATGTGGATTTAGTCACAAATTGCTTTTTAAAGGTAATAAAATCAAAGCACCTTGAAAATCCCAGTAAAATTGTGTGATTTCCATATAATGTATCTTTTACTCTTTCCCTAGTCTGACTCGGCTCCTTGCAAGTGAGGCTGGCTATGGCTGGCTTATGGTAATGCAAAAGTATATTTAATATATTCTTTTGTAAAAGAATGAAAATAATTCTTAAATTACCATGTTAAATTATGTATGACTGTTAATCCTCTGGAAATGCTAGTCTGTTAAGTGACGTACCTGTTTCAAATCTTTTATTCAAAAGATTTTATAAGGGAAGGGGCAAGATAGGGAGGTGTAAAGCTCAGTGTTGAGTCCTTTCCTCTACTTCTGGACTTTCTTAGAGTTACAGTTGTTTTCTTAGTTCAGACAGGGCACAAAACAGCTCATGCCTTAAAGTACAATGTTTTGGAAAGTACAGCGCAAAAGTAGCTGATGCAACTCCACGGTTCTCAAAGGGCACCTTTCCTTGTCTTCCTCCTTCAAGTGTTGGCTCTCAATTTAGTAAGTTTCTGAGACGGGTTGCAGCCATACTGCCATGGACTGTTTCTTGTATTGCTTATTTTGTTGTAATCTGTAACTGAATATTGTGTAAAGATGGTACAACAGGTGATAATGTGGTGTTCAACAACTCATTTCTTTCTTCATCCAGCTTTTCTATGTGCATATTAAGAATAGACATTTTTTTAAAAAAAGAAAAGAATATTTCATTTCCACCAGGACTGTCTAGATGTTCTTCGTCGTGGCCTCTGTGCATCACACATATGGGTGCTGCGCCTGTGCAATGCCTAGGTCAGAAGATTAGAAAGCTAATGGTTTTTGATGGGAAAAACTCCGCTCCCCTCCCCCTCTGTAGTATAAAATAGAGCAGAGTGTCCGCCATTTTACTCAGTCTTTGCAACCGCCGTTCGCTGTGCCTCATGCCTGTTCGTCTCGCGCTTAGATCCTCGTATTCACTGTTCGTTTCTACAATTTTTCATATACCTTGTCTCTATCTTCTTATACTCCAAGTTTTTCTCTTGACCCGTTTTTCTTCAGACCTTTCGTTCCTATTAAACAAAAAACAAAAAAACCCAAAAATATTATCTTACCCACTGCACTGTCTTCTTTCTATTTCGCGATGGTGCAGCGAGCAGCATTCCGCAAATGCATTGAGTGCGGTTCCAAAATGTCACCCACGGACCCGCACGACCTATGCCTTCTCTGCTTTGGTGAGGGGTATAGAATGGATAAATGTGGCCACTGCTTGGCCTTTACCAAGCAGGCTAGGAAGAACAGGGAGAATCGTCTCCGCAAGCTCCTATGGGACCAGGCCTTGATGCAATCGAACCAATTGGTCTTAAGGCCTGGCTCCTCTTCGGCTGCACCCTCCCAACGTCCCACCTCTACCACTGGCGCACCCTCAAAGCGCCCTGCTTCAACTTCTGCTGCTCCTCCACAGCATCCTTCAGACGAAGGCACCACTTCTTTGGAGGCCCAGCAGCTACCTTCTCCCCCAGCCAGAAAATGGGAGAAGCGTAAGCATATCGGCTCAGATAAGCCCTCTGCGCACAAGAAGCTGAGGAAGGAAAAGGCGGACAAGCCCACCTGTAAGGGCAGAAAACCCGACCACCCCGAACACCGTGGTTCGGGTTCATCGGGGTTTTCGGTACCGCCCGCCGCTACAGTACCATCTCCCTTGGGACCGGCCCTGCAATCCGCGATGCAGGTGATTCCACCGGGATCCCCCAGGCAGACTGTTTGGCCTGAGAGCGTGCCTCCCCGACAACCTGAGGAGCCGCTTAGGGAGTCCATTTCTGATGGAGAGATCAGAGATTCCTCACTGAGGAAACACTCTCCAACCCCGATGCCCGCAGCTGAGCTAACTGCGGATTCACCATCGCCTCCCAGAAGCCAAAGTCGTTCGTCTGAGCGCCGGGATGCAGATTGGTCAGTGCCTGGCTATGGTGGTTTCACTGGCTGGGGTGAATACCACCCGTTTGCTTATTACCCGTGGAACCATCAGTCACCATCGATCCCGAGGGAGGCTCCATCCATGTCGAGGCCTTCACCTTCCCTTCTCCCTTTTGGGGACCAGCTCCAAAGCCGACTCCCCATTTAGGAGTCCATTACATCTGATAGGTGGGTGTTGTCCATCATCCAGCTCGGATATAGGATAGGATTCGATATTGTTCCTCCGTCGAGCCCGATTCGATTTACACCCTGCTCTTCGGTACTATGTAACGAAATTCACCAACTACTTCGTAAAGGAGCGATTCGACAGCTCTCCCACTCTGACAGGCTGCATGGATTCTATTACAGATATTTTATGGTCCCGAAATGGGACGATAATTCGTCCTATCCTGGACTTGCGAAATGTCAATAGGTACATCATACCTAAAAAGTTTCGGATGACCACTTTACAAAATATTTTTCCGTTGCTGAGGAGAGAGGATTGGTTTGCCTCACTGGACTTGAAGGATGCTTATTTCCATCCATCCTTCTCACAGACGCTTTCTGCGTTTCACTGTCGGATCCGATATATTCGAATTCAATGTTTTGCCTTTTGGCCTTGCTACTGCCCCCAGAGTCTTCACGAAGTGTATGGCTCCGGTGTGCGCATACTTAAGGACTCAGGGCATACAAATATACCCATATTTGGACGATTGGCTCATTGTCTCACAGACTAAACAAGACCTTCTCTCAGCTGTACATGAAACTTGTTCCTTAGTTGACAATCTTGGACTTTGCATTAACCACAAGAAATCATCCCTTATTCCCACGCAGGTCATCGATTTCATCAGAGCACGTCTCGATTCTATTCCGGAAAAGAGCTTTTCTTCCTCCGAACCATCGAGACACTCTCTGCAAGCATATCCATCCAATTCGACTGAACAGAACGGTACAAGCCGTCACCATCCTGAGACTCTTGGGACACATGGCTGCTACAGTTGCCTTTGTCCCATACGCCAGACTACAACTTCGGCCATTCAACTGTATTTCAACAAGTCATTCCATCTGCAGCGGGATCCACCCAGCAAGCTAATCCGGATCCCGCTGTTGATCCTATGTACCGTGACTTGGTGGACTATTCCAGACAACCTGTCTATCGGCGTTCCGTTCCGACCACCTCAACCAACAGTAACCTTGTACACCGATGCGTCCCTTGTCAGATGGGGTGCAGCATGTGCAGGACTTCGGGTCCAAGGGGCTTGGAGCTGACAGGAAACAACGAAGCATATCAACTTCCTCGAGCTCTTGGCGATTTTCAACGCTCTCAAATCTTTCGAGACTGTCCTATACTGCCAAGTTGTCCAACTTGCATCCGACAAGATCGCTGCTGTTTTTTACATCAACAAGCAGGGCGGGACAAGGTCACCGACTCTAGCTCATCTATCAATGGAAATTTGGGATTGGTGTATCCCAAGGGATATACTACTTCTGGCAGTTCACCTGGCAGGAACCGACAACATAGAAGCGGATACGCTGAGCAGACAGATGTCAGCGACCCACGAGTGGGAGTTGGACAGACGACTTTGCGAGCACCTCTTTCATGTATGGGGATACCCAGACATGGACTTGTTCACTACCCGAGACAACAGGGTATGCAAACTGTATTGTTCGAGAGCGGGTATCGGATCGGTATCCACAGGGGATGCCTTCATGATCCCTTGGACCAATATGACTTTCTGTACTTTTCCTCCAATCCCACTTCTATCGAGAGTTGCATCGAAAATAGTTCAAGACAACGCCACAGGGATATTAATAACTCCGTGGTGGCCGAGCCAGCCTTGGTTTACCACTCTCCTTCGATTGTCCAGAGGTGTGTTTCTTCGGCTCCCAACAATTCCTCAGTTGTTAACAGAATGGAGCAATCCAGCACCCAGACCTAACCTCTTTGATGGCCTGGCGCATCAGCTAAATCTTGCTGCTGACTTGAAACCAACGACATCTCAAGCGCCAGAAAACCCGGCTCGACGAACTGTACAAACGACCCCTCCCTTGAATTCGACGGGGATCGCTTCGGTACCGACAGTTTTGGATCCAGATATTCAAGCGATTCTCGAATCTGCTTTGAGACCGTCTACCTGTCGGTCTTATGCGAAAGGGAAGAGATTCTCATCTTTTGCCGAATGCCATTCATTCGCTCCTGGAATGGCTTCAATTGAGAATATCTTACAATTCCTCTTGGAACTGCACCACTTGGGACTTAAACCATCATCCATTAAAGTTTACGCAGCCGCCATATCACATTATCGTGACACTGTACAAGGCTCATCGGTCTTCTCTCAACCTATGGTTCGGCATTTCATTAGAGGATTACAGAATTTACATCCTTCTGTGCACCGTTATGCCAACATGAAGTCTTTCTGTAGTGCTTCAGGCGCTTACAAAGCCCCTGTTTGAACCTTTGGCGACTGTTGACCTATGCCTAGTCTTTTGGAAAACGGCCTTCCTTATAGTGGTCACATCAGCTCGAAGAGCTAGAGAACTTTGTGCTCTTCGAATAGACCCACCGTATTTGAATTTTCATAAAGAAAAGTTCGTTCTTCGGATGGATTCATCGTTTCTGCCTAAGGTGGCTACACCGTTCCACATGAGCCAAGAGATTGTTTTGCCTGCGTTCTTTCCATCGCCCTTGAATCCGATTGAAAGATCTTTTCACACGCTCGATGTTTGACGATGCTTGGCTTTTTACAGATCTTGTACAGATCCTTCTGTCGTTCGAATAGATTCTTTGTTAAGCATTCCGAGCATGACAAGGGGTCCCCAGTCACATCTCAGAGACTTTCTAAATGGATCGTCAAAACTATTGTCCTGGCATACCAGCTAGCAAAAGTAGACTTACATGTGTTTCCAAGAGGTTATTCTACGCGAGCAGTAGCGGCTTAGTCTGCCTTTGCCGCAGGAGTTCCGCTTCAAGATATCTGCAGAGCTGCAACATGGGCTGCTCCATGCACTTTCGCCAAGCATTATCGGCTGGATGTCCATGCCAGACAGGACTGCTCTTTTGGCAGAGCAGTTCTCTCATTTATTCTTCGCTGACGACACCTCCCTCGTCCGAGTCTGGTAAGCTTGCTAATCACCCATATATGTGATGCACAGAGGCCATGACGAAAAGTAGGTTGCTTACCTGTAACCAATGTTCTTTGAGTGACCATCTGTGCATTCACACAACCCACCCACTGGCCCTGCTCAATGTCGGTGAGTGGACAACCTTCTCCATCGGTACCATACTTTAATATTTATGGTACCGGTGACGTTTGTTGTCATATACTTTCAACCTCAAGGGGGCAAACGTTTGGTCTCCAAGACTGAATAAAATGGCAGACACTCTGCTCTATTTATACTATGGAGGGGGAGGAGAGCGGAGTTTTTCCCGCCAAAAACTGTTAGCTTTCTCATCTTCCGGCCTAGGCACTGTGCAGGCAGCACCCATATGTGTGAATGCACAGATGGCCACTCTAAGAACATCAGTTACATGTAAGCAACCTGCTTTTGTCCCTTCATATGACAGCTGGGCACAACTCCTCTTCTACCATATATTCAGCATTACATTGTCAGTTTTAATAAAATGGAGACATTATAATCCATGGTGTGTGCTTGGGGTGTTTGCAAAACTTAGACCTAATGAAATGGAAAATGAAATTGAAAAATACAGCTAAATTTTATAGTAATTTTATGTTTTTCCTTAATTGAAAGACTTTGCTTCTGCTGCTTATACTTACATATGTCAGGTTTTTTTGTCTTTTGGATTTTTCTTTGGCTAGTTGTTAATTTGGATAACTTTGGGTTGTCAGCAAAGCATTGTTTTAATTTTGATTTTAATAATTAGAAGACACTTCTTCCAGTTCTTGAGAGCTTGAAGACAAATCCTGATGCACCCTGTAAGTGTCTGTGTAATACAAATGTAACTATCTGAATCCCAAGAATTCTCCTGGACCAGTACTGTTTGCAAAAAGAGTTAATTTGTATCTTTTCTGCTATATCCTTTTTAAAAAATCTAGGCTTTACTTGCTTCAGAACCAAAGAAGGGTAAAACAGGACTGCTAAAAATGACAATGAAAGAACTGATATGTTTAGCTTCTCCTTCAAATGTACCAGCAAGCACAATTCCTCAGGTAACATACATATTGTATCACAAGGCAAAATGGGTAAATATATGTTTTGTTTAGGCTCTCGCTGTAGAATCATAATACAATTTAGACTGCCCCCTGGGGTCCTAGATGAAGTTCATTAGGTGAAAATTCAAGCCAAAGGTACTATTACATATAGTGCACAATTATCCTCTAGAATTAATTGTCCAAAATATTATGCGTAATGAATCCTACGAAAGAACATTGGGGGATGGTTATTGCGATCTTCTTGTATACTCTAATGGAAACTCTTTTTAAGTATTTTCTGGGGACTGAATGCTTGACTATACAGTCACTTATCTGACCTAGCAGATCAGTTGTTACCTCCTTAACCTGCTATTGGTGAGGGACGACAAGCCTTAGAACAACTTCAGAGACATACTCTGGTCAGTCACAATAACTATGAATTATAAAATACCATGCACCTGCAAAAAATGAAATTTTGCAGTAAATATGTTTTGGATACCTCAGTATAAGCATTTACATTTGGGAGGAGTCAAAACTGTTTATGTAATTTTTATCTCCCATCTACAAGAAGTATTACTTGGTTTAAAATGTTTCAAAATACATTTCTTTAGGAACACTACAGTAAGCAACTTACATACTGTTTTTAAAATATTGGTAGAAAAGAATAGCAAATCTCTCTTTACTCTTAAAGAGATGGTGAAATAGGCAACCATTCATCACTACAAATAAAAACTAAACAAATAGATATTTGAAAAAACCAGTAGATGCTTTTTAAGGTCAATGAAATATTGACCTTATTTCAATATTTTTCCAATATTGAGCAACATCCCTAGTGCCCTCTGTGACCAAGTGAATAGCCAAAGTTTTCCTACAATGACCTTTATGTTAAGCATTAAAAATAATATGTATCAACATCTGCAGAGTTGTTTGGCAGTCAATCCTTTATTTAAATTTTCTGTCTCTGCATGTCTATATAAAAACTCTTATCGATAAAATAGCAAAGATCCCAACCCATTTAAATTATATACTTCATTTGCATACTATTCATTTGCTGACTCTCTGGGCAGTTCACTGCAATTGAAAAAGGGGGTTGAAAGAATTATTGTTTTAAGGTATGATTTCCAGTCATTGACTTGCAGTCTAACCTACCTCACAGGGCTGTTGCTGTGAAGATTGGATTGAGAGATAAACACATAAAGAAGACATGTAAAATATAATAACAACATATTTAACAGCAGAAATAATTTAAAACAGCTATAAACAGTTTTAGTAAGATACAGGATCTGATAAAATAGCCAGTGTAAATGCCCTTTGTTTGCCATCTTAACCTCACACATGACAGTGTTGGTGCCAGGCAGACTTTGTTATGGAGGGCATTCCATGACAGAGAAAATACTGTTTTCATATTAATGTTAAATGTTTTAAATATTTTTCAATGCTAGTAAAACAAAGAAAGCTACGTTTCTTTAGTCCTCTTCTCAACAGTGTCAAGCAGACATAAAGCATTCATTTGCACCAAAAGAACTCAGTAAAAGGGGGTGCAGTTGAATGAATAAATACTTGATAAATATAGATGAAATTGACTTCATTATTTGATCTGATGTGATCAGTTTCATTTGCTATTTCTTCTGCTTCTTCATCTTAGTTATCAGGGACTTCTTAAAATCGAAGGTTTGGCCAGATTGAAATAAGTTTCTCTGTCTTTTCACGTAACATATTTCTTGATTTAGTGTATTTCCAAATGCTCACCAGGTTCTTTCACATGCTGCAGAAGATGAAAGAATTTGAAGTAGTCAGGAAGCAAGCGGAATCAGAAGCCAGGTCCCTGTCATCACGTTGCAGGAGGAATGTGCTTAACAGAATCCCAGAGGGCATTTCTTGACCAAATCCACAAAGACATTCTGTATCCTGTAACTTTAAAAGTACTTTTCCAATATCGAATCCTAAGTGTGCTGCTTGTTTTGTAATCCAATCAAATGCGTGAGCTGCACTAGATTTGAATCGTGGACCAGCAGATTGGTAGCAGCATGAATTGGATGAGAGCAAAATTCTTCACATTTTCTTATAAAAAAAATTCAATTTACTTTCTTCAGTACTTCTAAGTGGATATAAGTTTAGATTCTCAAAATCATTTGGTTTTTATCTTGATCATTAGGTAAATAGTTTCTGTCCCAAGCGTATTGTTTGTTTCAGATGCAGTGCTTACTGAAGAAATTGTCTTTATAGTCTTTAGGGATTTCTGCAGCTGAATACAGAAGACATTTGGTATGGTTCCTTACAGTTCTAGGTACATTATGATTCTCAGCTGTTACTATTTCCCCAAAAAGCATCTTTGTTCTTTAGGATATTTTCAAAGAAGATCACCACTCCATCCTATCAATTTTGAGAAAGAGCTTTGAGAGAGAGCTTCTGTGTTGCTCCTTCCATTTTTCCTTCTTGCTTTTTTTGAAGATTGCAGCTACAACTTTTGAGTACCTTTACATGTTCTGTAACTTCTTTTGCTCATCTGTAGGTCTTTTAAAAGGTGTTTAGGTTCATTAAAAAGCAAGTTATTTATTTATTTTATTTTTATTTTTATTTTTTCGATTTATATCCTGCCTTTTTCCTACAAAGGGCTCAAGGCAGCTTACATCATTCTCCTCCTCCATCTTATCCCCACAACAACCACCCTGTGAGGTAGGCTGGGCTGAGAGCCTGTGACTGGCCCAAAGTCACCCAGTTGGCTCCACGGCTGAGTGGGGACTAGACCCAGATCGTCTGAGTCCCAGTCCCACACTCTTAACCACTGCACTGCACTGGCTCCATGATATGCACATCCCTTTGCAGTAATGTGTGGGTACTTCTCCATTATGATCTCTCATGACACTTTCATGTTACTTGCCCTGTCAGTCAGCAAAGCAAATGCTTTACTGCTTCCAACTGTCTGCAGAACTTCACATATTTTACACCTGATATACTCTGAAGTATGCTTGTCCTGTTTGCTTCCTTGGTTTCAACTTCCTAGACTCACCTACTTTGCACAGCCTGGAGTCTGAGTTTCTGGTGAGCCTGCCCACCATTTGTGGGGCCCTCAACAGGACTTGAACCCCAGCACTGTGCAAGTAGTGCCTTTCTTCACACCCACTGGCGGCAGTGAGTGAGGAAGAAGGTTGTCCTCCAAAAATGGCAGTTGGCGCACCCACGTACTGTGCTCATTTTCTACTTACGCTGCCGCCAGCCACAGCAAGCAGGGAAGGAGGTTGGTTGCTGGGAATGGTGGTTGGTGCGCCCTCACAGCTCCCCTCTTTCCCGTCCTGTAGCTGCCCCAACAGGAAAGTTGCTGGTTGTGCAACCAGTAGTCCATGAGCATTCACAGAATTCCACTTGACTCAGCTTGCTTTGCTGGATCATCCCAAGCATGAAAGGAAGCTCAAGAATTCTGGAGGGATGGATTCAGAAAGGGTTCATCCAATCCCTAATTTCAAATTCATTCCAGTGATTGTATGTGAAGCATAAAGGTTCACTGATATACATATTAGCTTGGTGTTGGGAGTGTACTAGATTTGGGCACTCATTCTTAAGCACTACTGGTATGGCTTCAGAAGGATCAGAATCAGATGGAGAAGTGGGTGAAGAATGGGAGCGGGGATGTGGGACTTGCAGAGATACTGAGATGAGAGAAGGGTAGATGCCTATCTCAAGAACAGTCTCCCCTGGTGGACAGACAGTCTATGGAAATAACCAAGATGTACAGTTGTTGGGAGGGGACTCAGAGCAGAGGAGTTTCTCAGGCACAGACCAGATGGCTCCAGCTCCTGACTCCATGATGTAGTGTCAGTAGGGGAGCGTTTTTTAAAACCACAAATACCTCATACTGTCCAAGTGTGGACATCACACCAACAGCCTGTCAATGGGATGTTCTTAGGGTGCTTCTCCAAACTAAAAGTGGTTTGCAACACTGCAGGTTGTGAGTTAATTACCCTGACTTGCTGCTAAACACCACTGTTGTATGCAGACAGCCTCTGTGTGACAGTTTCCAAATTTTTTACCCTAAACAGAGGGTAATTTATCTAAATAATTAAAAGCTCAGACATCTTTGGCAACCTAAGTAAATGATAAAAAAGAAAACTTGTGTGTTCTATGAAATTGCTGTTTAGCAGAAGAGATGAAACTCAAACTTCCATCCCAAAAATTATTAATTCTGGAAGATATCACTGCAGACAATTATATCATGCAACAACAAGTACATGTAGAACAGTGTGAAAGTTTCAGTGTGAAAGTTGCTGTAAAACCTCTTTTTTTGATAGTGCGTTTGTTCAGTATAACAGTTAAAATTGTTGACTTAGCTTGCTTTATCATAGATTTGGAGCTATTGATCCAGGTTTGCTATCTTTCTATAGTTCTAGTGAACAAGGTTGAAGTACATAATTTGGGGGTTATTTTCAACAACTAAATCTATATGGGTATTTGTCTTTCTGCACCACCTCCAGGTCCATGCTTTAAATATCCTGAGGGCTTTATTCAAGGATACACGCTTAGGAGAAAACATCATTCCTTATGTGGCAGATGGAATGCGAGCAGCAATATTAGGTTTTACATCTTCTGTCTGGGCAGTAAGTCAATCCTTTACTTTGAGTGTATTAAGTTGGAAAGCCACATGTTAATGATGGTAACCAGGGCATTGATTATGTTTCACAATAACACTACAATGTTTGACTGAATGTTTATGAATTCTTTTTATAGAGTTATATGGAATGTATGTTGAGTGGACAGCATGCTAGCATAGGGAAAATGCTATAAAACAGCCTACAGCACCATTGAAATTTGGCTCTTGATACTCTTTTGCATCAACTAGCTTTTCGTTTGGTTTCATTTCATTTTTGTTCCTTTTCATTCAATGAATGCTGAACATTTGACTTAAAAAATAACAGCTGTATTTTCCTTCAGACCTGGAAAAAGGGTTCTAGTTGGGTGATTCATATTGAAGCCCACTTACTCTACACTTTTTATTAAGATTTTGATATCTAATCAAAGGTAATTAAGTTTAACTTGTGTTGGCCTGCTTGGTAATTTTCAGTCCTGATACCACATCTCAAGATGATACTGTGTTTTTTAATACACATGCTTAATTAAATCAGGCAATAGGTATTTTGAAAGACACTACAATTTCTCAAGTTCTAATATGAATGTGCTGAATTTGTGCTTTGTTTCTTCCAATGGCTACTCCCAGGGCACAGTCCTTTGAGTCATGCTTTCAGTGATTGCCCCCCTCCCAACTCAGAGGATTGTGGTCATCCTATGCAGAGTAGGAACAATGGCAGAATCAGTCTTCATCTCCGTATCCTCATGCTTTACATTATAAGTTGGACATAGCTCTTTGCTTGTCTGGTTAGACCATTTTGGAGACAGAGGGAAGGAGGCTGGAGAGGCATCATAATAACTCATATCCAGGCCATTTCAGTCATGTTTCCTTCCTGCCCACCAAAATATACCTCTCTTTCTCCAATCTTTAAGATCACTTTCTTGAGCTTAGAGGGCAGCCAGTGACGGAGTGGGGACTGTTCTCCATTTACCTGAAACAAGGTCAAAATGCTATCTCTGGCCTTGGATTGTGTAATCTGAGCTATCCTGTGGCCTCACAGGTGCTGCCTAGGGACCAGAAAATGGTTCCTTCCATGAGATACTGTTGACTCAAATTGCATGATATGATAAAAAGAATGTTTGGATAACTGGATTTGCATCCTAGAGGTACCATGTTAATCTCAGGATCTGGCATTTCCTGTGGGAAACCTGCAGCCTCCTGTTTGAGTCTCCAGAATCAGAATGGAGTGATTATATAATCTTCATGATTCTATCTGCTGAAAGTGTTTGGATTTGGCATTGAGGATCTCTCTGGGTACTGAGAAAATGGGAACTGGGAACTGAGGGCCTAGAACAAAGATTGCAGCTTGCTCCGTTTGATGTGTGTGTGGTGGGGAGTGGGGTGCAGACAAAAATGCAATAATAATAAAATCAAGAAACACTAAAGTTTAAAACACCTGCAAAAGACAATGGCAAAGAGATACTCTGCTGAAACACTCCTCAGGCCCCTGGCTGGCCAAGCAAGTCTTTTAAGGCCTTGGGGAAAAAAAGAGTGTCTTAACTGGGCACTGAAAAGATGACAGATTTGATGCCAGCCAGGCAGTAGAGGGGAGGTTGTGAATCAGACAGTGGGGGCACCACAGAGAAGCCCCCCCTCCAGTTTCTATCTTACATGCATCCCTTGGAGTTGGCACTTGGGGGAAGTTCCCAGAGTTGGAGAGGAGTGTCCAAAGTAGATCACGGTTAGGATAAGCAATCCTAAAATATGTAAGGCTTTATAAGATAAAACCAGCACCTTGAATTGGGACAAGAAGCATACAGGCAGCCAGTGCAAGTGTGTTTGGAGCTGCGAGTCCTGATTATTAACCTGGCTGCCACATTATGCACCATCTGTGGCTTCTTGAGTCATCTTCAAGGGCAGCTTCACCTAGATTACATTGCTGTAATTGAATTTAGAGATTACCAAAGCATAGATTCCTGAAGCCAGGCTATCCCTGTCCAAATCAGGGTGACATGGCAACCATAAAACCCCACAGGTGGAGGTAGAACTGGAGAACAGCACAGCAGTTAGCTCTTTGTCTGCATTCCCCTTTCCTGGTCTGTCTTCCTCCTGACACCTTCTCTCTCTCTAACCCACCACTACACTAATTGGGACCCCCACTGTCTTCTCAGTAGGCCCCATAGCCACCCTCTCAGCCACAGTCCCAGTCCCAGACCCACATACTCAGGACAGTAGTGAGGGAGAAGCAGAAAGGCACCCTTATCCTTGTGGCATCCCAAAGGGGCAAACCAGTAGGCCTGCCTATAAGTCCAGGAGGAGGCTGCTAGAGAGCAAGGCCAGATGCTTCCCTCTGCAGTGAGGGTAGTGAAGGCGGGAGTGGGGATGCTTGTAGCAAGACATTAAAGGGCAAACTGTCCTCTTCTCCAACTGTCCCCAAGTCTCTTCACCAGCTCTGGGGTGCAGAAGGGCAGGCATAGCATCTATTTATACAATCTCCCTCACTCCAAATTCTTATATATGGAAGCCATCTTATTTAAGTTCTCTGCTCATTAAATCATCATAGCTAACCCTTATATTTTATATGTTTCCTTAACCACTCTAATTGTTGAAGAGATTATGTCATATAATTGAAGTTACATTTTTAAGCAAATTGGCTTCCTCCATGTAGGAAGAAAACTTTAGTTTGCCTGTTTAGTTCCTTCTTTAGCAAGCATGTCATATACAGAATATAAACATTCCAGAAAATGCTGCTTAGCACTAATTTTTATTTTGCTTGATATATCAGGTGCGGAATTCATCTACACTTCTTTTTAGTACCCTCATTACAAGAATATTTGGAGTAAAGAGAGGAAAGGATGAGAACTCAAAGAAAAACAGGTATGTTCCTTCTGATGCTAAGAAATGCCTCTGTAAATATGCCACAGCCAAGAACAATCTGTGCAATTTTGCTTACTTTTATGGATGTATATGAAGCATAATGTTACTAAACCATTTCTGAGCTTGTTTCAGATCTGATGCCAAACATTAAGCTGTGTGGTTAAAAAAAAAAAAGCTACTGTGAGCACCAAGTGTTAAATTTGGTTTAAAATGGAGCTCCAAGTCGGCTGTTGAGTGAAACAGAGCCTCTTCATTTCCAAAGACTTCTTGAGGAACTTGGCCATGTGTGTTTGTGCCTACAGAAAGGAATGCATTTAGATGTTTGTAAGGAGCTAGTTAAATACCTTTATGATCTTTTTTAAAGTTTTAAACTTTCCCCCACCACTCCTGCATCTCCCTCTTTTAAAATTACAATCAACAGGTGGTAACTGGAACTAAAGTGTGTTACATGTTACTAATTCACAATTCAGTGTGTCGCTACTGATCTACATGTATTACCCTATTAATATTTAATTGTAGGAAAAATGCATTCATCACATGGAAAATGTGGAACAGTAAAGTTTGAACTTATGTGTATATGTACGTAGTATCTGAAACTACTTAGAATTGGCTTTCAAAAACAAATATGCTATGCAGATGAATTTATCTAGAGCTTATAGTGACTAGCTGTAGACATATTTGCAAATGACTGGAATCCATGGATAATTTGACTTTCACATATCTAAAGTTTCCCTACAGGAAAAAGTTTTTTGAGATAGGAGTGGCAGAGCATGGAATAATAATAAGCTGATCTGGCATGTGAAAGAACTTATATGTGGCTCATTTGTATTAGGGAAAAGAGACTAGAAAAGTCTAATTCCTGAATGTACTCTGACCAGAAGTGGGTAACAAAGCAGTTAATGGCAAGACTGAGAGGTCTAGCAGAACAAAGAGTGAGAAGGGAGCAAGAGTAAAGCACATGGTCCAAGGAAGGCACATACTAAGGGCTGCAATCCTACAGGAAGTTAGACTTGCTTACAATTACAGTTAGAGCTCTGATTTAAATGGGCTAAAGCAAATCTACTGCAATGGATTGTGGCCAAGGTGTCTCATTGTACAAAGTGCTGTTAGGAAGACAGAAAAGAGCATGTGGTATCAAAGCAAGAGTGATGTTGGTTAAGACCTTGGGAATCCCAAACTCTTCAGGGGATAAGCAATGGTGCAAAAAGTAAATATGCAGCCCAGATATTTACCGGACATCTTGTGCTTGGTGGTCCTGACATACCCTGTTTTTCAGTTTGTAAGATTTGTGAGGAATAAATAACATGTATTATACTTCCAAGCAGCTGCAGATCGCACTGTTGCATTTTAAGTGATCACTTTGGAATCCGATCTTTTACCTGCAAATTATAATGAGATTATAAATTTTATTTATTTATTTATTTATTTATTTATTTATTTATTTATTTATTTATTTAAAACTTTTATATGCTGTCCCCTCATGCCTTGGCATCTCGGGATGGCTTTCAAGATAGAATGGACGACTTACAACATAGAATCTACACTTTATATTTATCTATCCTGGTTCAGCATTTCAGTCACTTTTGAAATAAAAACCACTAGATGTCTCCCTTGATGCATGGTTTTGTTGCAGAACAGTGTACCTACAGCAACTATATGTAATTTAATTACCTTCAGGCACCCTTTGTTTCCAAGTTGTACTGTGTTTGGAATACAGTCAAAATGCGTTTTATGTTACTTTCTGGGTCATTTTAAATGAGCCAATGTTTTAGAATTGAGAAGCCTGAAGGTAGGAGCCCTTTCATAAAAATGGTTTTTGTTTCCGCAGATGTTGTGTTGGTGCACCTCCCATACCTTCTGACTTAATTTGGCAGCAGAGGGCGCTTCTTAACATTAGGCCTCATGGGCTGGTGCAATCAGTATGAATGTTAAACCTGATTCGCCAGACTATGTAATGATCAGGGAAACCTCTTTCTTATGGTTGTGACTTGTCCCAGAACGTTCCTTTGAGGATCACTCAACTACAGTGTTCATTTCCACATGCAAGCTGAAAATCCAGAAGGATGTTATGGAATGTTTTGAAAGAAAACAAGGAGTCAGACAGTTTAAAATATTTAATTCTTAGAAGAATCAATTGCAGCAATACACATTGTTAAAGAATAACAAAAGAGCACCTTCCCAACCAGTTGAAAACCACAGGTTTACATTTAATTCATGGGTATGTTTAAATCATGTATGCTTTACCCTTGTTGCAGGTGCAGGGCAGGGTAGCTTACACTATTTTAACATTTATGTTTCCCTCCCTTAACCAAACTCTTTTGTAGATAAATTTAAAACTAATGGTAGAAAATATATTCACACCCAGATGACTTCCACTCCCTTCACTCCTACTCAACGAAACAATCCTTCTACTCTTCTCTAACCATTTCCCCTGGCTCATTACTCCTGCACTCCTCTTGACCTTTTCATACCTCTTTTAATTCTGCATGGAATGGGTGTATCTTAACAGAAAGCCTAGCACATGTTTTTCCCCTCACCTGTAGAACATGATGAATAAGAGTATAAAGAGTAAAGACCTCTGTTGCATAAGCTGCAGTTCACACACAGATGCATATGGTAAAATCTATCTAAAACTTTAAGAAATCTCATAATTCCCACTTGATTTTTGGTAATGATTTCATGTTTGCTTCTGTGACATAAATTCCACTGATAAAGAAGTTCAGTTATTTAAAACAAATCAAATCCTCATTTCCTAGCAAGTGTTTTGATACACAGTAAATGTGTATCTCAGATGCTGTTATTTACCTGTGTGAAGCCTGTGATGATGCAAGGATGGGCAAGTTAAGTACTACTGACAGTGACATTGGAGGTCTGGTTAGCTGTCTCAGTAATGTTCATTAAAGTATACTTTGGGGAACATTGTTAATGTGTTACACCTAAACTACAGTGTTTTTGTTTCCCAAATCACTTTCAAAATGTGCTTTTAAAAAACTTTATGACAAGAAATGAAAATGCTGTGTACTTGGACTTTTTGTTTGCATTTTTGTTTCTCCTCCTTTAGTGCAGGAGTTGGTATTAAACTTGAAAGTGTATGGGTGTGAACCCATAACAGCCAAGAAAATTTAATCTTCATTGTTGGTGGAAGATTTTTTCCCTTTTCCTGAATTGTTACAAGGTCTTCATCCTACAGTGGGATTATATACTAAGGTGTATAAGTAAATAAGACACGTGCTTGAAAACGTATTTCTAGCAGGTACAGAGAGCTGGTACAGATACTGAATCTTTCTTTAGTTTATACTTAGGTGCAATTGTAGTGGAAGTTTTTTTTAACTGTGTAAAACTAACTGTTTAAACTTCTGCTGAGGAATGATGCTAAGCATGAATTACCATCCATGCTTTTGGACAGATATATAAAAATACTGAATAAGGGATGAGAATGGGGAAGAAAATGGTCTGCGCTACTGAACTATGGTACTACACGGCATACCAGTAACTTCCTGAAGCACACTTATCTTCTGTTTACAGCTTTGGAAAACGAGTAATGATCTTTCATTTACTGGCTTTTTGATTGCCGACTTCTTTGAATTTCAGTTAATGTCTTAGTAGCACTGATCAGGAAAACTATTCAGACTTTGAATAGTTGGCAAGGCAGATTCTCTGGAACTCTGCCTTCTCTTCTGTAGTACCATGCCTTTAATCATTAATTGTTCTCAGTGCCGTAAGTTCTCTGTGTGCCTTCATTTTTTTCATCCAAATCCATCTCCCCTGTGTATTAATGGCAGTCTCATTCCATCCTGAGTGCATTTGTGTGCAAATTGGCAAACACCCATGAAGTACAGGCTGCAGACAGAGGCATGTAGCTATCCTGGTTTTCAAAGGAGGCCCTGAGTTGAGTAAGGATGTACATATGAAAGAGAGTGAATTTAGTGGATAAAATAATTCTGGCATTGCTAATCATTGAACGGCGTATCCTGCTAAGGGAAGGCATAAGCACACAAAGTTGGAAAATGAAGTTGTTTTCTTTTGTTTTAATTGCAGAAAGTGTGGAACTTAAAATGACTGAATCTGTGTGAGAAGCTAAGGAATATATCAGGATCATGTCCATCTTATAAAGTGATTCACCTATTCAAGCAATAGCACAGTACTCATTGTGGGTTTATTGTTTTTCTCTTCAGCCACTACATGCATATTTCAGGAATACTTGCACACTGCTGGTCTGCAACCTGTATCTGTAATGGAAATCTTTCATCAGTTTGAATTTATTTCATATATTTTAACTTAATGTATATCCTAATGATATCACTGTTTGGGATTTTAATTCAATTAGACTTGAGTGGTGGGTTTTCTGAAATTCACTGTGGACTGACAGTCTTTTATTTCTTAATAAAAGGTACTCTGGAAGGTAAAATCAGTTGGAGGTGGCACCCAGGTTCAGAAGGCGCTGGGACAGCTTCCCTTAAAGCTTACCTGGACAGAGAAGATGAATAGAGAAGGATGGTGGGAGTGGGCCCAGGTGACCTAGATAGTAGTCAGGGCAGGAGGCAGCTTGGGTGAGCAACTGTGGCTGCAACCATTTTCATTATCCCCGGTTTCTATGGACATTTTGTTTAAATTGTTGTCCTCAAGTGCTTTGCTTGTAGTGTTTGTGCACCAGTACACTGCCCATTCCTGGTATGACAAACATATGAACCAACCTGACTCAAATTAATTTGTACAACACTGAACAGGTAAAGCTTTCATGAGCAAGTAACTTCTCCCTTTCTGTAGACTTAAAATGAAACTTAGCAATGCAATTCTTTTTTTTAGACTTAACTAGTTATAGCACATTAGCAGTCAGAGTAGCAGTCTCTTTTGAGATGTGAGAGAATCATCTGCCCATGTAAAGAGTTGAAACTTCAACTTCCTGCCTTCCCTCCCTTGCAGCAAAGTTTCTGGTGCCATGGTTTGGGTGGCTCCCGCTGCTTGCAGGCTATACAGTAGAAACACGGGGCACTTTATAA